TAGCTGACTGACTGACTGAAATGCTACATGTTTTAAACAATGTACTTTGCCTTTAACCTGACTATTTTGTACAGTTTATTAATTTGAATATATATGTAATTGTAGAACTTGATGAGAGAATTTATCGAAAATAATATTCTTCATTCATAGATTAGCCTTTTTATGATGATGATGATGATGATGATGATGATGATGATGATGATGATGATGATGATGATGATGATGATGATGATGATGATGATGATGATGATGATGATGATGATGATGATGATGATGATGATGATGATGATGATGATGATGATGATGATGATGATGATGATGATGATGATGATGATGATGATGATGATGATGATGATGATGATGATGATGATGATGATGATGATGATGATGATGATGATGATGATGATGATGATGATGATGATGATGATGATGATGATGATGATGATGATGATGATGATGATGATGATGATGATGATGATGATGATGATGATGATGATGATGATGATGATGATGATGATGATGATGATGATGATGATGATGATGATGATGATGATGATGATGATGATGATGATGATGATGATGATGATGATGATGATGATGATGATGATGATGATGATGATGATGATGATGATGATGATGATGATGATGATGATGATGATGATGATGATGATGATGATGATGATGATGATGATGATGATGATGATGATGATGATGATGATGATGATGATGATGATGATGATGATGATGATGATGATGATGATGATGATGATGATGATGATGATGATGATGATGATGATGATGATGATGATGATGATGATGATGATGATGATGATGATGATGATGATGATGATGATGATGATGATGATGATGATGATGATGATGATGATGATGATGATGATGATGATGATGATGATGATGATGATGATGATGATGATGATGATGATGATGATGATGATGATGATGATGATGATGATGATGATGATGATGATGATGATGATGATGATGATGATGATGATGATGATGATGATGATGATGATGATGATGATGATGATGATGATGATGATGATGATGATGATGATGATGATGATGATGATGATGATGATGATGATGATGATGATGATGATGATGATGATGATGATGATGATGATGATGATGATGATGATGATGATGATGATGATGATGATGATGATGATGATGATGATGATGATGATGATGATGATGATGATGATGATGATGATGATGATGATGATGATGATGATGATGATGATGATGATGATGATGATGATGATGATGATGATGATCTTTAAACGATTAAAATGATGATCTATTCTAATTGTTAATATTTAGAAATTGTGAAAAAGATTTTTTTTTAAAAAACGTTGTATATTCATAGTTGAAAGCGTGAGTCAATTGATGCTAGACTACCAGGGAAAACATGGAAACACTAGACGGCCAACTTGTCTTATTGTGGGACTCCTCATCAGTACACACCCACGATCCTGCCACGTGAGATTCGAACTCAGAACCTATCAGTCTTACGCGCGAGCACTTAACCGATAGACCACTGAGACGGCATTCGATGGTGTTTATGTCTAACTCCAACAAATCGACAAAGTTGAGCAACCGTTCACTAATTGTCTTCAGTGATTCCAGGTTTTTCCCTAGTGGTCTAGCTTCAATTGAATCACACTTTCAACTATGAAAATACTAAATCTCCACAAAAATCCCTTCTGATAAAAGTAGTATATGTTTGTATATAAAAGAAATAAATGTTTAATAGTGATTCTATAAGTATATTTTGTACATAGATTAGATTTTAACTGTTCATACATTTGGCATCTATTTAAATGGTTATTTCTTATTCTTTATAATTTCAAATATCCATATTGTTATATTGTGTGCATGTGTGCCCTGTTTAATATATGAACGTGCTGATTCCCGCCTATCAGAGAGCAGCGAATTATCGATCAGAGCAATGATACACAAAAACTGTATGAGCAGTCTTTTGAGTACTACTGAGTCCTGCTACCTGCCTAGCACAGCCAGTTAAGTCTAAAACATCAATAACAGCCTCTCCGGTATGAATCATTGTATTTCAAACATACTGAGTTTATATACCAAACAAACTGACCACATTGTACCAATCAAATAGAAAATAACATTTGTACAAGATTTAGCCAAATGTGGCTGTGAATAGTGGGGAATAGTAATCAATAAACTGGGTATAACCCAAGAATGGTAAATCGTATAATAATAGTCTATAGGTCAAAATAAAGTTTATAATAAGAGGGATACGAATATGATTAGGTTAGTTACTTAAAAATTATACAATAGGAAATATACGGATCATATTGGTCCATAACTAGTTCTCAATAGTTACCATTTGTAAATCTCCATGGGAGATAACACATATTTATAATTTCAATGAATACAATCATCATTTTGTGATGTTTATTTAATATGTTGTTAAAAAACTTTCTTTTCTTAATTCTGAATATATAATTTTATTAGTAGTGGGGGGGGGTTGTGAATATTTTAGTAATTTTATGTAGTTGTAATAGCTTCAATTGACTAATGATTTCAATTATATATAATTTATTATTATCTTGTCAGTGTTGTCAATACTAATAGTATCAGTGATAATAAGATCTATCATAAATCGGTAAATCAAATTATCAAGTATCTTTAATGGTTAGACTATTATTATTTATTATTTAAACAGCCCCCAAATGCCCTGGTACGGCTGAGAGTGAGGAGAGTCCGCTCTTCCTCTCCAAAAGCTCTCACATGGCCACGCGTATATAGCCTCTGGCATACAAGCTCTACTCACTGCCTTCTCGTGGCATTACTGTTGTTTATGAAATTGGGAGAACGAAATGCGAATGTCCGACGCTTTAATCGGGTCGGTGGATGTGGAGAGTTCACCTAGTGGAGTTGGGGAACCCTGATTCCAAACCAATGGTGCACATGGGCTGACTCCAGTATCCTGAGAGAACAAATGGCGTATGAATCAATCGTTAGTCACTGGTTACCATGGGACTGTATCTCCTCACGATGCTCCACTTTCTTATGGATCAGAGCTTTAGGTCAAAGGCTCGGGGTGTGATCCCCGAAAAAAACCACCTGCTTCGGTATGTTGGTCCTTCACGACTCCTTGGTTGGGGTCCGAGAGATGGTGCAACACAGTGGCTAGAGACGTTATCATATATGGCTCAGAATAGAAGCCAGTGGCGATCCTGCTGCAACCTTCTTTTACTTTCTACAGAAAGAATGGTTCTAACTTTCCTAACTGAAAGAGTCTTCTGGTTGTACATTTCAGTCCGCCTTATCTTTTTATCCCTTCTCTTCCTACTTTCATTATTTTGTGTGGCGCATATGCACCTGGTGCCCTTTTGTACCAATATATATGTGTTTAAATAAATAATAATAAAATAAATAATTCGGTATGGGCACCCGTGCAGTATCTGGTGCCCCTTTGTACTAATATTTGTGTGTTTGAATAAATAAATTAATCCGAAATTTGATTTATTCATAAATTATTGTCTCGCCTCTTTGATTAGTATTACTAGGTATTCATACCAATTTTGTTGGTTCTATCTTGTTTCTATTCAAATTACCGTTAATTACACATAGATTATTTCGGAATACTTAGAATATCTGGAGACGTTAAGGCACATAATAGTTGACTGGTAATCACAACAAATTATGTGTAACCATTTAACGGTGTTACACATTTACATATAAGATGAAAATTAAAAAGCATACTAATGATAGTTATAATGATAAGTCTATGAATAGGAAATAAGGAAAATGCTAAAAATAGACGTCCCGTAGGACTGAGATGTAATCACAATTGATTGATCATTAGGTGGTGATCAATGTTATGCGTGTCAAGTCCTTAGTGCTGATCAAATGCTATCGATGAAGTTGCAATGTAGCCACTAGTTTAGGTGGCTCGACACTGCGTGCTCTATGTTGAGATAAGATGGTTGTTGGAGGTGGTTAACAGGAAACCCTGGTCAAGAAGTGTTTGTCGAGCTATATCTTCACTGGTAAGTTCGTGAAAGGCTGCTTTCACTTCTCATGATACACGAAGGGTTTATCGCATCGGCTCTTTGCACTAGGTAGTTGGGGTCGAATGAGTGAGTGACCGTGCTATGATTCTGTATGGGTATTTCGTTGATTTCTATGTGTACCACCAATATCAACGATTTGAGCTCAAGAAATGTTGTACCAAGCCTCCTGAAACTACACTCTAAACCATATTTTGGGGCTTGTAATGTTTTTACCTTATTTCGAATCGGATAACAGCACATCGCGACCAACTACTTTTGGAGTGGTTGTGTACAAGACTCCCACTCGTATTTATCTGGATGCTGATCATGATTTTGTTTTCGCCAAGGTTTTCTTGCATTTTGGTGGTTAGCGAGCGTTTACTTTTAATCAGGTTGACTTAAGCGAAACGGTTGTAGCTTCCATTGATAGCCACAAAGAAGTCAGTTTGGCCTATATAGTATCTGAAACACTAGCCTCCATAATTATCTAACGCTTAACTAACGTATGTGAAGAGCGAACTAACCAATGTTGGCTTCAGACCTGAATGTGGATGCGTTCACTAAATATTCATTCTTCGTCAAGCTATGGAACAGAAATATTTGTGTACTCCTAACCATAGTTGTATTTCTCAATCTTAAGGGAAATATAATTTTGTAGATCAACAGCCAGGCTTAGTACCTATGTCTCAGACTATGGTGTTGGCTGACGCAGCATCGAATTCCCCAGTTTCCTCAAGATTACTGGTACTCCTTGTTGAAAAGTACGCAATAGCACAAAGCGTAGGTCCAGGTTTCCCGTTTACAGCCTTCAACCATCTATCAATTACAAACTACCTTGCCAACATTTGCATCCTAGAAAGTTTGTATTTCCCACAATTTCATATTTAGTTTCTAAAACCTTGACATTTATTCTTTTATTTATCCTCTTTTTTTAACATCTTCAAGTTATCCAATCAGTGAGGACATTTTTGGATAATCATGGTTTTCGTGAATTATTTGAAGAAGAATCTTGGAGTTTACGACCTTTAGATAAAGTTTATATAACAAAAAATGAATCAACTGTAATTGCAGCCGCTGTTGGTGGTCGATTTGAAACAGGCAATGGTTTTACATTGCTTGGAGCACATACAGATAGTCCATGTTTACGTTTAAAACCAAATTCGGAACGTTTAAAAGAAGGATATATTCAATTAGGTGTTGAAACATATGGTGGTGGTCTTTGGTATACATGGTTTGATAGAGATTTAAAATTAGCTGGACGTGTAATTATTCGTAATGCTGAAGGACGCCTGGAACAACGTTTAGTACATATTAATAATCCAATTGCATGTGTTCCTAGTTTAGCAATACATTTAAATCAAGAAATAAAAACTCAAGGTTTTCATCCAAATTCTGAACAACATTTATCTCCAATATTGTGTACTAGGTTAATGGAACAGGTTAGTTTATATCTTATTTAACAATAAAGAAAACATTGTTATGAATTATATAAATGCTTGGTTAGTGATTTTTATCATAGTGACAGCTGTTGATATTAATTTTACTGGTGAAAAAGTTTGTTGATACGACGATACTAAACTTTATGGACGAGCTAATCAGAAGCTTTCGTTGGTTTTCAAGGTAATTGTTATGCTTGAAGCTAAATCGATTCCGCGGTAGCGAACGAAGCCAATGACACAATGACACGATAAGCTATTCTAATCGGTTGTCCCAGGCCCCGCTAACTAGATGAAGTCCAAGGCAAGTAGGGGAATATATATGTATTCCGTAAGCAGCCGAGTACAAGCAATCAAATAAGGGAAAAAGTCAAGCGCATTTATACAACAACAATTTGTCCTTGAGCATCATTAGTAAATAGCACACACAAAGAAACAATGGACCAATAGCGTTTAAGATAGTTTACAAGTGGGAAATATGACGTGAAGGTAAAAAGAGCGCTTTTGGCGCGGAAACAGCTAAATTCAAATTTTCAAAATAAAATTACAAACTAAGCCATTTGCCAAGTAAGTTCTGGGGATTTGACATCCCCAACAGTAATAGCTCTAAGTTCGGTACCTAATGCTTACATATGGTCGGTTTACAACGGATTTTAGAGAAGACGTGATAATTCAGCGTCTACAAGAGAAGTTATTATTAAGATTTTGGCGCGAAATTCAATTATCCATTTGGATAAATAGAGTTTTGGCATTATAGCTGATGTCAGTTCGTGATGAAAACCCTAAGTATAATTCCTAACCTTAATCATGAACTGTAAATCATAATTTGAATTCATCACGCAGGTTTATAACCCTCATTTAATCTTAGTTGTTATGTTGACACTCTCAGGGTCACTCTAGCGTCGCTCAATGATCGTCCATAAGTTATAGTCTCACTCTTAATCATAAACCTTAACTCTAACCCTAAACCGTTTTCCATACATTGAAGCTATGTGGTCGAGGCTAAAATAATTTTTGAGACCTTTTCATGGTTCCAGAGGTCGACTACTATGGAGCCACATGGATGAGTTCCTGTACCAGATACACTATGATTTTAGGACTTCTGAACCTATATCTAACCTTGATAAGTTTTTGAGTCATGTAGAAGAAGTGTCCCCTTTAATTTTTGAGTTTTCTATAATATATTTTCACTGTATGCTAACTGTCTTCTGATTGACTATTATTTCTCAAGGTCATTTAAGAGTCGTTCAAAGGTCGTCCATAAAGTTTAGTATCGCTGCTGATACTACTACAAACTGTTAATATTAGTTGTAATCACTGACTGTCTCACATATAATGGTTTGCCTTTATTCGATGTAGCACCCTTTAAGAATGTTGTGTAGTAGTAACAGGGGTTTTTCTTTTGTAAGACGTTAAAAAAATTAGTGTGGGGATAGTGTGTGGGTCAACAGAGGGTCATGGCGTGGTCTTAAGGAAATAAGATTAGGATTGAGAGCTCAAAAATAGAGTTAGCAATTAAAGTTAAATTTTTCATCATTAATTGACGGCGGTTGTAATGTCAAAATGCTATTTTACCATAGGGATGATTGAATTTCGTGTCGAATTCTAAGACTATCTCACCTAATTATCTTTAAATAATTACAACTGATTAATCAGTTATTCAGGTAAGATGGTGGTTGGAGGTGGTCAACAGGGAACCCTGGACCCGGGTTTCGTGCTACTTGGCACTCGTCGGCAAGGTATACCTGTAATCCTGAGGGAACTGATGCTCCCTGGCGGATTCGATCCCGCGTCACTCAGCTTCACAGTCAGACGTTACCACTGAGCTATTCGGGCCGCGACCAACCTCCTGTAGGACTGAGATGTAATGACAATTGATTGATCACTGGGTGGTGATCAATCTCATGCATGTCAGGTCCTTCTTAGTGCTGATCGAATGCTATCGATCGAAGCTGAGTGACGCGGGATCGAATCCGCCAGGGAGCATCAGTTCCCTCAGGATTACAGGTACACCTTGCTGACGAGTGCCTAGTAGCACCAAACCCGGGTCCAGGGTTTCCTGTTGACCACCTCCAACCACCATCTTACCTAGGTATACATAGTGCAAGCAGTGTCGAGCCACCTAGACTGGTGGCCACATTGCAACTCGATTGATAGCATTCGATCAGCACTAAGAAGGACCTGACATGCATGAGATTGATCACCACCCAGTGATCAATCAATTGTAATCAGTTATTTAGTCAACCCTAGGGCCAAGCAGTTACTTTAATGGTAGAAATAAAAAATATTGCATATAATGAAATGATACAGGGAGAAAGAATCGGTTCGTAGAAAGTAAGATATAAAGCAATTTTACTCACACGGTTAAAGGGAATACAGAGAGTGTATATACCTACGCCATTGTAATCGATTCTGAGCCATGTCACCCAAAGTCTCCAACTATTGATTACGATAGTCGCCCAGACCCCAACCAAGTAGCCTGCATCTACCAACATGGCTAGGGCCAGGAGTTAGTGACTTTATGGACTGATGCCAAATTTTGGTTTGACCCCCCTAACTTCCTTCCGACCGTCTACAACACTAGTCAGCATTGCGCGTTGTGGTAATCGATGGTTGGGCATGCGTAATACATGACCCAGTTATCTCAATTGATGTAAATTCACAACCTCATCAACTGATTTACCATCACTCTAGTAGCCTGACTCTAACCTCACTATTACTTACCCGGTTATCCCAGAAGATGCGACCATCAGATGCTATTAACTAACGAGTATCTTCTACCCTTAATGGCCACGTTTCTGAGCCGTAATCTAAAACAGAACGAACTGCTGAGTAGTGTTCTCGTCCTTTGCATCCATGCAGAGAGGTCTCCAGATATCAACCTATTGGGTCTGATCAGACTTCCAAGATAAATGAAGTTGTCGACGCGTTCGACCACTTCACTCCTTATCCTTAGTTCAGGTGTTGACACAGGCCAGTCCTAAATCAAAAGTTTACATTAAGAGGGGAAGAACTGCGTCCGATAATTAGTGAGGCTGGTATTTTAGATGCTATATTAATCAAATTAATCCCTCTATGATTATCATAGGATGATTTTGATCCCTTCTTATGAACTAGGACGATCAGTGATTGCGACCAGTCAAATGGGATTACGTCCAACTCCCAGATTTTAGCTAAAATTCTAGTCAACCTGATCGCTAAAATTGGACCGCCATACTTAAAGACCTTTGGACCAGATGCTCTTGAAGTGAAGTGTGTCCCTATCCTTCCGAGTTCTTACGGAGCCGTTTAGCGGAACAGCACACAGGCGATTGTTAACAGGGATCCATTCTAATAGTGTCTGTTCTGCCCTCGTACTTAGTGCTATGCCCACGCTGCCAGTCTACGAGGGTTTTTCATCGGGCCGCCAGATATACGGAGGGCGTATCTCGTCGGCCCACCGATTTGACGAGGTGGAGTCAAGTGAATGACCGTCCTAGGATTCTGTATGCGTGTTTCGGAGACACAGCACACATCAATAGTACGAGATTCTAGGGTTTTAGCAAATTAGGCCTGTTGGCCGATTTGACATGGGGTGTGTACGTTGAAGGCTCCACGTGATATGATTGCCGATTGTAACAACAACTTACTGATCAAACCAATGACGCTTAAACCGGTACTAATAGCTCAGAGTCATCTCTGGGTTGTCATTGGTCCTCCGAGATAATAGCTTCTCGCCTAATGCAACCGGTTCAGTGCGGATCACCGAAATCCGCCTCCGTTATACTAATCATATATCTCAGACATAACTGGACTTTGAGGAACGATCATTGCAGTTAATGTAGCCCTATCGGTTCATTACAATAGGCAAATCCGATCACCACGTCAAAGTAGCGGCAACGATCGGAACAACTGATTGATGGAGCGTTTTTAATTTAAATCGAGTTATGAGTAACCGAATAGTACATTCACTATGTATGTAACTAACTGTTTGACTTGTTATATATTGTTTTCTTGTCTTTTTGTTAGGGAGATCCAGGAACCTCCTCGGAAAAAAAAGCTAAAAAAAAGGCTCTGAAAATGCTGAGAAGCATCTTATCCAATCAGTATTCACTAGAAGTTTTGCCAGAAACATATAGGAAATGAGAAGTCACATGTTGAGTTTCTGATTGAATGATTACCTACACTACTACTATGTTTACTAGCGTTCCAGAATTTTCCTGAAATCCATGGCCATCTAGAATACTATAAAAATCTTAGATTATTTGTATATGAACGAACCTTTCGAGTAAAGAGTTCCTTCCATATTTCGCTCTTTTTCTCTCATGTTCACTTTACTGTGTAGACTTAGTCTTTGGGTTAATAGAAGAGCTTAGGAACCGAATCTAGCAGAAGAAGAAGAAGAAGACTTATCACTTTTCACAATATATCCTCTTTTAGGATTTTGGGGGTTTGTAGAGATTTTAACAGTTGATGATTTTAACAGTTGAATTCATAAGTCGATGTAAGCTAGACCACCATTGAAAACCTGAAAGCACTAAACGGCCGTTTCGTCCCGCGTGTGGGGTCATGGATGCGCACTGCTGGGGAGTCCCATAATAGGATGAAACGGTCGTTCAGTGCTATGGTATGACCTCATACGTTTGTATAATTTTACAGTGACATCTATTGTTCTGCTGTATTTTCTTAGAACTTTATGTCTAACAACAACATTAAACAATTGAAATTACTAAAAAAAAAATTAAAAAGATGGTTATGAATAGGTCCTACTTGGTAGTAGTTTGTATTCACAGTTTATTTGATAAGTTAAAATAATTCGTTTTTCATATTGTTCTTTTTTGTGCAGCTTCAAAATCCAAATGCTCAAAATGCCAATACTACCGAATGTGGAAATGATTCAACAAATTCGTGTTTTAACATATGTCCTATTTCATTGCCTAATAGAAATCGTCATCCACCAGCTTTATTACGTTTATTAAGTGAAGAAACAGGTGTTAGTGAACAACAAATTGTAGAGCTAGAGCTTTGTTTTGCCGACGCACAACCTGCTTGTGTTGGTGGTTTATACAAAGAATTTATTCATGCACCTCGTTTAGATAATTTATTTAATTCTTATGCTGGTCTTCATGGTTTCATTGAATCTCTTCCAACTTTATCTTCTGAATGTAATATACGTTTGTTATGCTTATTTGATCATGAAGAAGTTGGATCTACATCAACTCAAGGTGCAGATTCAGGTTATACTTTGTCTGTTATTCGTCGACTTAATAAAGCATTTGAAATGTGCAATTTATCTGAAACACTTACACCAAGTAACAATACAAATATATCACAATGTACAAAATGTAATTTAGATTTACATTTTGAAAAATCATTAGCTAAATCTTTTCTTGTATCAGCTGATCAAGCTCATGCAGTTCATCCATCATGGGGTGAACGACATGAATGTTATCATAAACCTCAATTTCATAGTGGTGTCGTATTAAAATACAATGTTTCACAACGTTATGCTACAAATAGCCTTACTGCAGCGGTTGTTCGTGAAATTGCTCATTTGTGTAATGTCCCAGTTCAGGTTTGTGTTTTTTTTTGAGTTTTTCGTTATTAAATAAATTATTAATCTATATATTTTAAACGTAGATAAATGATGGCTAGTAATTGAAATTTAGGGACTCGTCAACTGGATATACCTTCTGTTAGGATATTCACAAGAATATCCCAAAAATTATCTCGAATGTAAAATGGTATGTTTCCAAACTCTTCACATAATTCGCATGTTATTTCCTATTGGCCATTATTTACAGTGTCCTAACTATGACTTTCATGTGTCGTTTCCCTATTGGTCAATTTTGAGTCGTCCTAATTATAACCTTTACGTGTCCTTTCTTTCCATTGGGTACTGTTAATAGTCATCGTAACTGTATAAATATGCCTTGTCTGTAAACCGTTTTTGTTCTGCTGCTGACCCCATAAACAATTCTCATTTAACGGCTGTGTTCTGATTTATTGGAGTTGGGAAACAGTATTGGGGTCGAACTAGGATATCTGAATTTGGTCAATCGGTAGAATTTCGCGTAGTCCTATCGCAATACGCTATATTTCGCGTTATAACACCTTCATCCCAAGGCGGATGTTCATTCTGAGACTCTATCTGGTATCGTTCTCTTCATATACTATCACGTTAACCACTTAGCTACTGAGTACAGATAGTCACTAGCTCATGCAATGGGGTAAATTTTAATTTTCATATATATATTAGTTGTTTGAATCTTCCCATTGATGTTTAGGACTGCGATTGATCAGTCTCTTTTTGAGATATGTGCATCCTGTGCGGATTACCTTGATATTGCCATTAAGTCACAAAGATTTTGAGCAAAGATGCAGTGAACATCCACTTTAGGATGCAGGTAAATCCAACTTACAAGTCTAAAAATAAACCGCGATGCACGTCGTGAATTCCATCACTAGCCATTATTTATCTGTTTTTGAAAATGCTTATGACTTAATGGGAATATCGATGCAATCTGCAAAACATCCACATATCCCGAAGAAAACTATGAATGGTCAAACTAAAACGTAGCATCAGTCCATTAAGTTATTAACACTCAGATTGAACCAATGAATGGCATGGCTCAAAGTCGCTTTCAGTGGTGCGAGTGCATTCAATTTTTGTCTTCCTCTAAAATCTGAGCTCTTGAATTCTTCATAACTTTCTTATTGTTATTTCACTAATTGATTTTTTTTTCAAATCGTATTTTCGATAACTGATCTTTTCTATCTGTACTCATACTGTTACCTAGTTCTAGTATTTTGGGATTTGACCTGACAATCTCATCTCCCTGTGCTTATGGTGTATGGAAACTTCGTTCATATACAAACTCCTTGGTCCGTGTTTCAAGACGGGTCAGGTGGATCGTCTACCACTACACCACAGACTATTGGCCCAATGCAAATCACACACGCAACCGCCGACGTGACAAAACCAAGCCATCAGCCGACCAGCCGAAGCTAGTAACAAACCGACCAGACTCAGCAATGCCCGAAGGTCTAGGCACGCATGCGAAGCCGCCATCTCCGACACACCGCACAGATCCACTACAGCCAGTTAGTAACACTCACGGCCCATAAATGAGCCAAAGAGCCACCTACCGACCCAACCAAGCCTGACAGAAATCAGACCTGATCAGTTTGACCATAGCAGACAGGCAGCAGTGCCGGTCGTGGTGAACACCCTGAGAAAGTGCACTGACAAGCAGACCCTCACACCAACAGTGCGCGCGTCGTAAGCAAACGATTCACACATACCCACCAAAAAGGAAGGCACCTGCGGTTAAACAGACACTGAAGGCGGCCAGTATGCCCAAGTACAAATCACACTCATCAGCTGAATTCCCAGAGCTTGCAGTTCAACTCCACCCGTTTACCTTTGAGCGGTTTCACGCACTGTTTACTCTCTCTTCAAAGTACTTTTCAACTTTCCCTCACGGTACTTGTTTGCTATCGGACTCGTGTAAGTATTTAGCCTTGGATGGAGTTTACCACCCACTTTGGGCTGCATTCACAAACAACCCGACTCCAAGGGTAGCTCAGAGCAAAACTGTCACACTTGATCTCTGCCCCCACGGGCCTTTCACCCTCTTTGGGCCAGAATGGGAAGCCGTACTCATTGCTGGACTTGGGACAGAGCAGTAATGCCAGAAGCCACCCTAAACACCACATTGCCTTACGATCAAATAACCGCAGGCTTCGGTGTTGGGCTAATCCCTGTTCACTCGCAGTTACTAGGGGAATCCTTGTTAGTTTCTTTTCCTCCGCTTAGTGATATGCTTAAGTTCAGCGGGTAATCACGTCTGATCCGAGGTCGGGGTCAATCAAATAATTCGTGCATAATAAACACACAATCGGTACAAACCATAGACCAAACCAGAGACGAGATCAAGTGATTAACGTAGCATACGATAGGTGCGAATTATCCCGAGCGTGTATAATGTCATTAAGCCACGACTCGAGCACAACCCACCGCAGCATCTCAATCAAGTCATCTAGACCAGACTAGGCTGTGGCCGGATTATTAGGACGGAGCCTCTGACCAGCAACCCGCGTTGATATACGGGTTTAAACGCCGGCAGGCACTCGCCCAATCCACGACTTAATGTGCGTCGTGATAGATGAAAAGCCGACCCTCGGACAGGCGTGGCCACAGGATATCCCGTAGCCGCAATATGCGTTCAAGATGTCGATGTTCAAAGCAGTATGCAGTTCACATTAATTCACACAGTTGGCTGCACTCTTCATCGACACACGAGCCGAGTGATCCACCGCTCAAAGTTGTACGCCAATAATCCCATACATCGGTTACCCAAATGCATAGAACTAATGGTTAACGCTGCAGCTTAGGATATTTACCGCTAAGCCAGCGTACATGCAGTCCAGCACGAAGCCAGGTGCATGCCAGGCAGCAAACCCGTGAATGGCAAGCCAATCCGGATCGCTTCAACAGTGTAAAAGGTTTGAAATAGGAACAATAACGGGGCGGACTTGCATGCATATAGCAAACAATTCTCTTTGAACCTAGCACACAACAATATTATCATGCACTGTCCCATCGCCCTTGGCAGATCAGGCAACCCGAAAGTCACGAGAACACCATCAGGGCATACGACAGGCTAGGTACCCCGGTCAAGAAAATAATAACCACTGAAGCCTAGGGTGAATTCCCACTAAGCCAGGGTACATGCAGTCCAGCGCGAAGCCAGGTGCATGCGTCATTATATATTTTGGGTTCATGTTAATGATCCTTCCGCAGGTTCACCTACGGAAACCTTGTTACGACTTTTACTTCCTCTAAATAGTCAAATTAGGTCATCTTCTCAGCATCAGTCGAGCGGCAAAGCCACTACAACGACGCCAATCCAACGACCTCACTAAACCATTCAATCGGTAGTAGCGACGGGCGGTGTGTACAAAGGGCAGGGACGTAATCAGCGCAAGCTTATGACTTGCACTTACCAGGAATTCCTCGTTCACGGGGAATAATTGCAAGCCCCGATCCCAGTCACGACGGTGATGAAACAGTTTGCCCAACCCTTTCGGGCCAGGTTTCCAGACTCGCTGGCACCGTCATTGTAGCGCACGTGTGGCCCCGGACATCTAAGGGCATCACAGACCTGTTATTGCTCAATTTCGTGCGACTTAAGTGTGCCGCTTGTCCCTCTAAGAAGTAAAAACTGGCACCGCACCCGCCGGATCACGACCACACTACTCCATAAAGAAGCAATAGAAGCCGCGCCCTAAACGAGCACAGAGGACCAGTCTACTATTTAGCAGGTTAAAGTCTCGTTCGTTATCGGAATTAACCAGACAAATCGCTCCACCAACTAAGAACGGCCATGCACCACCACCCACCGAATCAAGAAAGAGCTATCAATCTGTCAATCCTCACAGTGTCCGGGCCGGGTGAGTTTTCCCGTGTTGAGTCGAATTAAACCGCAGGCTCCACTCCTGGTGGTGCCCTTCCGTCAATTCCTTTAAGTTTCAGCTTTGCAACCATACTCCCCCCGGAGCCCAAAGACTTAAAGGTTTCCCGGGGACTGCCCGCGATGTCAATTATAGAACCAACGCGGATCGTCAGTTGGCATCGTTTATGGTCAGAACTACGACGGTATCTGATCGTCTTCGAAACTCTGACTTTCGCTCCTGATCAATGAAAACATTCTTGGCAAATGCTTTCGCTGTAGTTTGTCTGGCGGCGATCCCAGAATTTCACCTCTAACACCGCCATACAAATGCCCCCGTCTGTCCCTCTTAACCATTACTTCGGATCCGAAAACCAACAAAATAGAACCGAAGTCCTATTTCATTATTCCATGCAAGAATTTTCAGGCACATAGGCCTGCTTTGAGCACTCAAATTTGTTCAAAGTAAAGATGCCGTCCGCTCCCGACACCCGTTTAAAGGCATCCGGAAGCATGCCGACAGGTCAACAAGACGAACTCGTCAACCCACCAGCACCCGTTTAACACAGACACGGCTGAAAGGCTGCACAGCCACTACACCGAGCTGAACACTGGTCCTGATCGTAACCAAAACCGTGAACAAGCAACGGCATGCGACCGCACGACCCAGATTCAACTACGAGCTTTTTAACTGCAGCAACTTTAATATACGCTTTTGGAGCTGGAGTTACCGCGGCTGCTGGCACCAGACTTGCCCTCCAATTGGTCCTCGTTAAAGGATTTAAATTGTACTCATTCGAATTACGGAGCCTCAATTGAGTCCCGTATACGTATTTTTCGTCACTACCTCCCCGTGCCGGGAGTGGGTAATTTTCGCGCCTGCTGCCGTCCTTGGATGTGGTAGCCATTTCTCAGGCTCCCTCTCCGGAATCGAACCCTGATTCCCCGTTACCCGTTATCATCATGGTAGGCAAATCACCTACCAACAAATTGATAGGGCAGACATTTGAAAGATCCGTCGCCGACACAAGGCCGACTGCGATCAGTAAAGTTATCCAGAGTCATCACAGAATGTAACAGGCACAGCCGAAGCCGCACCCGGTTGGTTCTGTTCTAATAAATGCACCCGTCCCCTTGCGGGTCAGGGATTCAAGGCATGTATTAGCTCTAGAATTACTACAGTTATCCATGTAGCGTTTACGATCTAAGGAACCATAGCTGATTTAATGAGCCATTCGCGGTTTCACCGTTTTAAGGTATGTACTTAGACATGTACATGTTATACATCATTTAATAGCTCTTAATTAGATAAGTACTACAAAGAAAACCCCATTGAAAAATATTAATCCGTTCAAAAGTTATAAAGAAAAGTGTGACCCAAAAATTCCTATAGAAAGGTGCGGACGGCAAAATCCTATAGAAAAGTCCGAGATAGCGAGTTTTACGAACACACTTTTCCGCATAACTTTTGAACGGCTCAACCGATTTTGTTCATTCTTTTTTTAATCGATTTACCTTGCGAATATCTATCTTTTGATTTATAACATATAACTGTGTATCATCTAAAAAATAATTGCGCACTACACCTGGTTCACTATGGTATTTGGCCGTCCGCACCTTTCTATAGGAATTTTTCGAGTCACATTTTCCTTCATAACTTTTGAACGGCTGAATGGATTTTGCTGATTCTTAATTTATCTTGTGCAACTTTGCATGATCTATTGAATGAGATAATAATCAAAAGCTTTTGTTCACCAGGAAAAAAATTTTCAAATTTCTTATTTTTCTATAGAAAGTCCGAGAGAATTTCAGTCTTTTGGTCAAAAAATTTTTCGTAACCAATACACAATAATAAGTTGTACATTATCAGATAGATATTTGCAAGATGAATCGATTAAAAAAAGAATGAACAAAATCGGTTGAGCCGTTCAAAAGTTATGCGGAAAAGTGTGTTCGTAAAATTCGCTATCTCGGACTTTTCTATAGGATTTTGCCGTCCGCACCTTTCTATAGGAATTTTTGGGTCACACTTTTCTTTATAACTTTTGAACGGATTAATATTTTTCAATGGGGTTTTCTTTGTAGTACTTGTCTAATTAAGAGCTATTAAATGATGTATAACATGTACATGTACTTAGAAATAAAAATTTTGCTCTTTACAGTTGCTCTTACTCGCCATGTATTATAGGGATACTACCCCTAACTCAGGGTCTGGAAAGTCGGAAAAATGAAAATTTCGCAAATGCGATAAAAATGATCTTGGTGGTCTAGTATCACTATTCCGACACCAGACAATGGGTTTTAAGCGTTCTTAGGCCCTAATGCTTCAGGCTGGGCTGTTTCGCTTACTACCCTATATGTGTGTGGTATACAGTATAAGCTATATGGCCATGTAGAGCTGAAGGTCTCACATGAGACTGGAGGTTCGCCATTGATATTGTGCACATATTGATGTACACACGTACCACTTTCTACTTTGTGACTAATACTACTGATGCCAAGAGGCACTCGTCAATTTCAGTCCTAAACATCAGTTGAAATATCCCAACAACCAAAACAAATGTATTAATCTAGAATGTTGTTTTAAGAAGCAATACGAAATATATTTACTTATTTAAACATAAATATTGGTACAAGGAGGCACCAAATAGATATCCGCCACATAAGTCCTATTTGTACGAAGGTTGAGATACTAAGCTGGTGCCCAAACCGAAGCAAATGGTTTACTTAGGGTGTCACACTCCAAACTTATAACTTAAAGATCTAATCTAATCTCTGCCCTTGTGGCAGGGGTGTTGTTTACGAAAGTGAGAGGACGAAAAGCGAATGTCCGGCGCTTTAACCGTGTTGGTGAACACGGAAAGTTCATCTAGTAGACTTCGAAAACCCTGATTTCAAACCAATGGTGCACATGGGCTCCAGGATCCTGATGGTACGAATGGCGTATGAATCAATCGTTGGTCACCGGCTACCATGGGACTGCATCTCCTCACAATGCTCCACTGCTTTGTGGATCAGACCTTTAGGTCAAAGGCTCGGGGTGTGGCCCCCTAAGAAAACCACCTGCTTCAGTCTGGGCACCTTGGCAGTATCTCAGCCCTCACACAAATCAAATGAGATTAGTGAGGCGCGTATATATCTGGTGCCTCCTTGTATCAATATTTATGTGTTTAAATAAAATAATAAAATAAAAGATCTAATCTATAAGGCAGTGGGGTAACGTCAGTAGATGCAGTCCCATGGTAGCTGGTAATCAACAATAGGTTCATACGCCATTTGTTCCTTCAGGATCCTGGAACCCATGTACACCATTGGTTTGGAATCAGGGTTTTCCAACTCTACTAGGTGGACATTCGCTTTTCGTTCTCTCAATTTCGTAAAGAACACGCCAGCCACGAGAAGGCAGAGAGTAGGACTTCCTTGGTAAAGGCTATATACGCGTGGCCATGTGAGAGTATTTGGAGAGGAAGAGCTGACTTTCAGCCGTACCAGGGCATCTGATGAGTCCCGTATTAGAACAAAATACTGACTTAATGCTTCCTGGTATTTAATGTTTGTTTAACTTGATAATTTTAAGAAAAAATAAATCTGTATACACTTACTTGTTTTGTTTATTTCAATTAACTTTTCTTTTTTTTAAATTTTTATTTTTATCATTTCATTAGGAATTTGTTTCAAGACAAGATATGCATTGTGGTTCTACAATAGGACCATTATTATCATCCCAATTAGGTGTACCTACTGTAGATTTAGGTTTTCCTCAATTAGCTATGCATTCATGTAGAGAATTATGTTGTTCAACTAGTATTGAACAAGCAGTACGTTTTTTTTCATCATATTATGAACATTTATCAAAATTATGGTGTAATCAATCATATCGTGAAAGTAAACCACCACCACCACCACAACAACAACAACAACAGCAACAATCCCATCAATCTTATCATCAAATTCATTTGATGAATTAAACTATTCTTTATGAACCATAAAATGATGAGTATCAGATGGGTTAAAGTTTCAAATCGTAAAGACGCACATATATATATATGTATACCTATGCACACACACATGCACATACATACACACTCATCTATAAATACATACATGAAAACGATTCAACATTTTTAAAAATTATGATCCTGGATACAAAAATTCTTATCAACTATTAAAGAAGAAAAAGAAAGAAAACTTTATTTAGTCTTGGATACAAATGCTTATCAACTTCTAAAGGAAAAAAACGATTTTTTTCTCTAAAAAATGTTTTCTGGGTTACTTATTCTTTTTTTTAATTTTCAACTTAGGATGTTTGTTTGTTTTTTTCTTTTTTTCTTCTTCTTCTTTGTTTCTAGGATATCTTTTTCTGTTTTGTTTCGGTTTATTGATATCCTTCAACCTTCTTCTTGTAGTTCATGTCTTTTATTAGTTGTTTTCTTCTTCTTCTTCTTCTTCTTCTTCTTCTTCTTTTCCATATTGATCAAGTTCATTTGTTCTTCTTTAGATGAATAAAGTTTTCACCTGTGAAAAAGTTTTCCTTTTCTCTCATTTTATTCAAAGTCTATGAAAGTAGTTGCTGGGCAAACTATTATTACTATTACTATTATTATTACCATATTGTATACGTCATATTATCACTATCAAATTCTTCATTAACTTCTCTTCACAGTTATAACTATCAATGGTATTAAGGTACCCCCTTGGAATGAATATAATACTTATAAGATATTTAAGTATTATATCATGTTTTTTCTTATCTTTTTTATTCTACTCAATTGTTACTATGCAGTTTTAAGAAGAAGAAAAACAAGGAACATCTTCAGATAATTCTGAATTATCCTCATTCATAAATGTATTGTATTCATTCTTTGTATCCATATATATACATATTTAGTTGTCAGGTTATTTTTTGTGTACATGAATTACTATCTCTCTTATTCTTAAACTTTACATGGTTTACTATTTGATGTTGGTAACAAATCAAAAAATTTTTTTTAAAAAGTGTCTATGTATATCTAATATTGAATAAAGTTTTTCTTTTGTTGTTGTTGTTGTCGTTGGTTATATTGACTGTTTTAGTTGTTGTTGTCGTTGTTGTTACTGTTTTGTTTGTTTTATGCTATTCATCAATGTAGATAGTCACTCAGTCAGTTTTGAGTGTTGTTAGAAGTATGAGAGCAGTTATCACTTCCCGGTTGCCCACACCGTGGAAGGGTTCTTCTAGAGGTACCTGAAAAGGAAATTGGGTTAGAAGTGGTCTTAATGACCTGAGAGCGTGACCGCAGTGTCCAAGGGACAACTGCTTGAGGTCGGTCACACGACTTTTTTGTGGATAGTTTTTGTGTTAGCTCCGTATTTGTTGGGACCTTACTGCCAGAGACGGATATCCGTGGGATAAGGCGAGATGTGCATTTCTAGGGTCGACCTTTTCTAACCCCACTCCTTGTGGGAAGGCAGCATCGCTGTTTTGCTGATTGTCTGAAGGAAATACCTTACTGCTGTCACACTTCTGTGCAGTCGGCAGTACGGCTTCGCCTTCGGACATTGGGTTTGCTGCTTTTAGTCTTACCTGTCTGGCATGGTATGACCTTAAGGAACGATTATTCCAGCTAGTATAGTTCGATTGGTTCGTCACGATAGGCAAGCTCGACCACCACGTCAAGGTAGCAGCAACGATCGGGAATGTAGATAATTATTTCTTATGTTTATCATATTGAAGATTTTAACTTTAGAATCTTTATGTAAAAGTCAATGGAATGTAGCTAACAGTCAAATTCAAGACATACTATTTATCTTATTTTTGGTGAGATTCATTGATTGATTATGTAATGAATAAAAATTCAGATGGGGAAAACCAATTTATAGTTTTATGCAAAATTACATAGTGCCTTCGTAAAATTTATTTTATTTATTTATTTAAATACATAAATATTGGTACAAAGGGGTACTAGATACATATGCGCCACACAAATCTTATTTGATTTGTGTGAGGGCTGTCATACTGCCAAGGTGCCCAAACTGAAACAAATGGTTGACTTAGGGCGTCACACCCAGAGCCTTCGACCTAAAGGTCTGACCCACAAGGCGGTGGAGCATCGTGAGGAGATGCAGTCCCATGGTAGCCGGTGACCAACGACTGCTTCATACACCATTTGTTCCTTCAGGATACTGGAGCCCATGTATGCCATTAGTTTGCAATCAGGGTTTCAGGAATCCCCTAGGTGAACTCGCCGTGTCCACCAACCTGGTTAAAGCGCTGGACATTCGCTTTTTGTTCTCTCGATTTGGTAAACAACACCCGTTATGGGAGAAGGTAGTGAGTAGGACTTCCGTGGCAGAGGATATATATGCGTTGCCATGTAAGAGCATTTGAAGAGGGAGATTGGACTCCTCACTCTCGGCCGTACCAGGACATTTGTGGGCCCTTCGTAAAATATGAAAATCATACATTAAATACGTTATTTGTAAATCTTTCTTCAGTTGTCCTCTACATACTTAATGATTCTACCAATTTATTTGTTATTCCAATTGTTGTCTTTTACTTCTTGTTCTGTTTAATTAAATCTTCTAGTGATAGATATTTTACTTCTGATCACTGCAACATACTACTTATATCTGTCAGATTATATTGCATACTCTACAAATTAGCTTAGATCCGAATTGAATTCAGCTTTGGATCGGTATATGAAGCTTATCAAATGATAAATAACTTGAAGAAATGGCATTTATATCAGTTTAATTTTGATTGATGTGAATTTCATTGCTTCTTTCATCTGCTTTAGTTAGATAATTCTCACTGTAAATACAGATAGGGTATATAGTTTTAACTATGCAGAAAACTCCTTTTTACAGTCAAATTAATTCATGTCAGAGGTAAGTTCTTGCACAAAGTAAAGATATGCAATATAACTGATTCTCCATTATAAAAAAACCTTAACTAGAAACCTAATGTATGAACTCGTTTAACTTGAAGAGTTTTCAGGACTACTGTTTTGTTCTGTGTCAATGAATTAAAAACAATTAGGGAATTTCGCCTACAAGTTCTCTGTTACTATAAGTTAGATAATAGAATCTTAGAATTCGGTAAATACAAAAAATTAAGATCTAACAGCTCAAATTTACAGTTTGTAATGTAGAACCCAGTACATATCTGTATTTCTTTTCAACTTTCCACAACACATTTAAATACCAGAGTAGTAGTAGTAGTAAGTGACTTCATGGAATAATACCACGTTTTCTTTTGGCTGTCCCTAGTTTTCTTCTAAATTATTCCTACACTAGTAAATATCGAGTGTCCAAGTAGACAACAGTTGGAAATATATAATACATGTCCAAACTACCTCAGTTGATGAACATTCACTACCTCATCAACCAATATGGTCACGCCATGATTATAACATGGGTAAATCCTCGAAAGGATCTGTGATCGAATACTAGTAAAGTACGAATATTTTGTATGTTTTCAAGGTCACGTCTCACATATATAAAGTAGATTATAGCGAACTACTGAACAGCATACACATCCTTTACTTAGCGGGTGAACATCTCGCGTATGCAATAAAAGTTCGCAAAAGGCAGCTGAGCCTTCTAAATCCGTGTCAAGATTTTTTCAAATAGTATAGCAATGCACCAGGGCATCGTTGCTCAGAATGACTTGAAGATTCTGCTTTTTTTGAGGGTCTTCATCAAACAAGGATATATCACCTGTGTATTCTAAGTCTACAAGTGATTCTTCTGGTGAGACACCAATCGCTAGAATGTCATACAATCAGAGGGTTATCTCTTGAAGAATATTTGTGATATAGTTAGATAAAAATGAAAGCTGACAAACCAGGTGGACATCACTTTCGATGACCGCTCAACACTAGCTCTGTGTCGACCACTAGTATACGAGTAGTGAGTGCGTAGAAGATATACTTTATTGACACACCCTTCAATGACAGACACTCAGAGAACCTATTAAAAAATGGTTTAAAATAGTAAATACAGCTGTGGGTGGAAGCCGGTAGGTATGTTTACACTCCAGAACTTGATGAAGTTTGGATATTTATTGTGTCTTTGCTTTCAAGGGTAGAATATTTTGTCTTACCAGTTGATAGATCAAGTCATTTTCAGTAGGTCTACATGCTACCAGCTCTCCGACTTGTTTGATTTTGAGACTTAACATTTAATTGACTCTCCTATTTTCGACATACAGTGACAGGATGTTTGACGTCCCTTTCTTTCTCACTCAATGAATTTGTACTTGCGAAAGAAAAAAACAAAAAGGAACGTATTCATTCCGAGTTACTTATACCGTCATATAATTTACTTTATCTACTATTGGGCAAATATAAAATGATCTATTACTTATCTTTATGTGGGTTTATTCATGAAAAGTTTCAACTGTATGGTAATTTCTAAAATGTTTCCCATATACATTTAGAGGTATCACTTTTTCAGTATCTGAAGGTAATAGACAATTCGAATATACTTCTGATTAAAAAAAAAACGCTTGCTATTTGTATACTGTTTCAATTTTGTCACTTTTCTTTGGGATTTAACTCTTCTGTTGGGGTCCGTGTGACTATCGTAATCAATGGTTGTAGACTCTAGGTGACATGGCTCAGAATCGATCACAATGACGTAGGTGTATACACTCTTTGTCTTCCCTTAAACCTTGAGATTAAAATTGCTTCATAACGTTCTTCCTTTCTATACTATATCCTTATATACAAACTATATTTTATAAACTACCACAACTAAATTAACTACTTCTATGAATTCAATGTTCATCTTGTTGTACTAACGAGGTATGGCAACTTGGACCGATGCATAAATGTGCATGGTCCTAGGATGTATCTGACTGACTTAGCATTTATAAAATTTGAAGTTTGTAGACCGATAACAGAATTTCTACTCTTCTTCAAATAAGATACAAGTAACTAAAACATGAATAATTTAATAATAAATAAAGAAATAAAGTAGCATTGTT